TTCCTCAAGTCAATTCAGCATCTCATGCTTCTTAAATCTCATGTTAATTTCCTTAGAAAGTTAGCGGATGTTTGTGTTGTCTAAAAAGAACGTAAGTTCTCAAGTTGTTATGCATCATCATATTATAAGTTCAAAGCGAGAGAAACATAAGATACAGAGGAGGAGATACATAACCATGAAAAGTAAAGTAAATTACATGAAAAAAGACGAAGAATTTTTCAGTTTTTGTTGTAGAAAGTGAGATCATATTTTGTACGGAAGGAGGAAGAAGAGAGAGTGAGCATGTATTGGATCGTTGTGACCCATGTCTTGTAACGACTGTAATCATCAGCCATGTCTAGTTTGATAGCTCCTCTGTTCGTCCTCATGACAATGAGATAACAAGTGTCTTCTATGTTGTTGTCTTCGCTCTCCGAATCTTTGTAAAGTTCCACATGAACATTCGTCACAATACCTTACAAATAGGCACAATCAAAACACTAAATGTTTAAAAATCTTTAGCTTGAAGGTTACTTAAAGTTAAAACAAAACAAAAAAGATACATACATTCTTTCTTAGTCCTGAGTAGGTTATGTTTCTTCATTTTAAGAATCACCTGTGTTAAAAAAAAAAAGAAAAAAGATCATCGATTTGAAGGCGTAATTAGTTAAAGAGTAATGAATGATTAGGAGCAAACTTCATACCTTTCCTTCTTTGTTTAAGACCATAGACACTGTCCTAGCCTTGAAATCCCCTGTTTTAGTCCAAACATATCTTTAGTTTTCTCACAGAGGACTTGTGCATGTGCATTAAAAACAGAGGAATTTGTATTACCATCTGGTGTCTCGACGAAAAGATCGGTTCCTTTAGCAAGAAGGGACGTGTTCTTGTCGAATTCAGGAGGCAAATCAGAGGAATCTTCGATAGGTAACACAGGCGCAGAGCCATTCAATCTATTGATCTTGCAACTTCTTCTTGCTTTCAGCGTCGCAGCGCCTCTCAACGCTTATTTACAAAACACAGATCTCTAAGAAAACAGAGCATCCTTATGTATATAAACATAAAACGAAAAACTTTAATCATCTTCTTACAAGTTGTAGCTGAGGCAGTGAGAGTGAGTATCTCACTAACACTTGTCCCGGTCATGGCGGAACCAATCATTGTGCTGAGCTGATCTCTGTTTGCTCCCATTGTCTCCGCCATCTGTGCACACTGCGCAGCCACAACAGCCGCCGCAGAAGCCACGGCGGTCTCTTTCGTGGTCGGTTTACCGCTGCCACCGTCTTTCCCGGCGTTCTCAGAAGCTACAGCGGCCAGAGCGGCGGCCAGACCGGCCAAGGACACGGCTGCATGTACTTCAGCTCTCTGTAGCCTCACTTCTTCCTTTCTTTTCGACTTTATCTCTTTCCACCATTTCTTTATCGACGGCGTAATCTTCCATGGAAGTTTCTACAAGATCAATATTGTTTTGATTTAGGTTCCAATAATGTTGTTTTGGAAATCAAACCAAAGCGAGGTAAGTGAAAAGGGTTTTTACAAGTTTCTTGCGGAAAAAGCCTTCGTAGCTCAGTTCTGGGTGCATTGCTTGTTGCATCCATATCCATGACTGTTCACATCATTCAACAAAAAGAAATTATCAATCTTATCTCTTAACTTCTCTTCGCTTAGTAATATTACCACTTAAATCATGAACCAAATATTCATTAGTATGTGCAGGAATGCATCAAATAAACCTAATTAAACAGCAATCGTAAACACAATTTATAAATGAAAAATAAACTGAATTATCTGTTGAACCTATATATTTCCAAATCACAAGAACTAATTTAATTCTGAAATTATTGTTTCTTTTGTTTGTTTTGTCTATTTTTATTCTGGTAACAAAAAAAAAAGCTATATTTTCAACATAATATGTTTTTTACCTTGACATCATTGGTTTTCCAAGGCATCGAGGGCTTAAAATCTGGATCGTCCATCTTCAAACTCTTATCCATCATCTACTTTCACAAATCTTCGTAAATTAAACACTAACAAAAACGAATTGAAGAAAGAATCACTTATAAACAAAAAACAATCTCTGGTTACTTACGGCACAAGAAACAGGACTCGAGTTGCCTTGAAACTTGGCGATCGATGTCTCGACCGGAACAATGGAACGATCGTAGAGGATTTGGTCGGGCTGAAGCGATTGAACAGCAAAATTACACCATTCGCGAGACAGAAAGTCCATAGTGTCTGGATGTGACTCTGAAGGCGATGGATTATTGTTCAACTGATGATGATCAGTTGATGTTAATGATAGTGAGAGTTCCATAGCTTCTTTTCTTTTGATTCAAAGATTGTGACTTTGAGAATTTGTTGATTGTTCAAATATTTATGTTATAGGAATAAAAGAGGAAATGATTAATTAGTTTGGATTATAATTTAATTTTTTAGTTTGATGTGGGTTCTACCTTATTACATTTTTTAAAAAGGTTTGATGGGGAGCATCATTTCCATGGGTAGGAATGATTTGGGCCATGATCAAAGTGATTATATATCGTTGGACACATTTACTTTTTATATCAAAAAGGATATTGAGGGTTAGTTACTTAATCTCAACTTTCTGTCAAAATGGGAATTAGGTGTAATAATGCGTTTTTTAACCAAGTGGTGGTGGGTTAGTGGTTTCACTTGGAGAAAAGTTGCTATGTGGGTCTAAGCCAGAATTCAATTCTCCTCAAGCGTGAAATTTTCTAACCCCTCCCATTTAGCCAATTGAAATGGTGACATGTTTTAGATCATTAGAAAATATGGTGAGTGGGTTACTCGATGGCTACACTCACCCTGGAGGGATTAGTCGGGTGGTAAACACCTAGATCACCTCCTGGTTATCAAACAAAAAAAAAGCCTTTTATCATTAGTAATTGTTTTTAATCTGATTGGTGAGTACTCATGGTATTGCATAATAGTAGTAGTAGTAAGTCATTCTATTAAAAAAGTTATTGATAGCAAAATTTAGCAGAACTGCGAGTGTAATTCAACTATTTAACTACCTTAATGACAAAACTAAAATGGACTTTACGTATGAAATCCAACTTTGGGTGATATCGGTATATATTTTGGTTAGTGATTTTCGAAAACTAGTAAATAAATAAAATAAAATATGGATAACCTTGTTCGATTTTTTTTTAAACTAGAAGTCTAACTACATCAGTGTTGTTGAAAAATACTTTGTGATGTTGTTATGTGGCATGAATTATTGAAGTAGTTGACCATTATAACTAATGTGAATTATCTGATAGGAAATGCATGTATATATGTAGATACTAGATTAGTGACAACATATAGATTGGACCCTCTTGCATCTCCTTTTCGTATATCTTTAAATTGAAACCATATGTTCAAGCTAAGCACACATATTTTTATATATAATGTCTGGGCCTCTTTCCCACTCTTCACTCTTTCATAAGTGATCTATAGCTGGATTTATATCCCAAAATTCTGATATGTAACTGATATACGAATTGAAATTTCCTAAGTTGAACTAAATTACATGTTTTGGAAAACCCAAAACTAGCTAGAACTA